GGAAGAAAAATTGCAGGGTGTTTTGATGAAGAGCCATAAGGTGCAAGGCAGAAAGGGGGGGGGGAGGCCTTGGAAAGGTTGAGCTTCAGGTATTCAGCTCTCAAAGAGTTAAAAGAGGCCCAAGTGCCAACCAGTTCCTTGCTGGGTCGAAAGGATAAGGCAGCCAATGTGGCATGGATTGCTTTATATTGGGCATTCATGCAGGTTGGGTTTCCTTGCACTACCAAAGTGAACAGGAGCTATTGTGTACAGACAGCCATGGCACACTTGATCTTCGAATAGAAGCCATGATGTAAACTAAGGAAGTCTTCAACCAAGGTTTTGAAGGCCCAAGGAGATTGGGCATTTAAACTATGGAGCGCTTGAAAGAATCTTCAAGGGGGGGAAAAAAAAGCTGTGTGACAGATATGTGGTGTCTAGTTTAATGAAACCAAGGATTATGGAAGACATGATAGCAATGCTCCGATATCTCAGGGGCTGCCCCCAAAGAAGAGGGAGTCAAGCTATTCTCCAAAGCCCTCGAAGGCAGGACAAGAAGCAATGGGTGGAAACTAATCAAGGAGAGAAGCAATTTAGAACTGAGGAGCAATTCTCTGACAGTTAGAACAATTGATCAATGGAACAACTTGCCTCCAGGACTTGTGAATGCTCCCAACACTGGAAGTTTTTAAGAAGATGTCGGATAACCATTTGTCTGAAGTGGTGTGTAGGGTTTCCTCCCTGAGCAGGGGGTTGGACTAGAAGGCCTCCAAGGTCCCTCCCGTTATTCTATTCTATTCAACTTTACAAACTTAAAATCCTTTCCCCATCCTCAAGTTCGGTCTTGACTGTAGAGAGTAGGGCTTGCTTGGTTTTAATGATTTGGTTTTGAAAGTTTTTTGAGGCCTGTCCTGCTTCAGAGCTCTTCTCTTGAATTCCTATCCTAGCTAATGGAACTTAAAAAAAAACTAAAAACCATATCGCCCCAGAGACAAATTGGGTTCATTTTGATGATGTGGCTGGCCAGGCTTTTTTTTTTTTTTAACTAAACTAAAAAGAAACCTCATTTGTTCTTTGTGTATTCTCAAAACATATTCTGGGAATGTTAGAGTTGAGTGGCGCTGGAAGTCATGAGTTTAATTCTGATTTTTAGAGGACAGAATCTTTCTTTACAATGGTCCTGCTCGATTCAGGGCTGGATCATTTACTCCCACAGCCTTGAACGTTCATGACTTCATCTAAATATTATCTAGAATATCAGAAGGAGTTTGCAAAGGCATTTATGTTGCTGCGGACGATCCATCCTATGAGATATGACTTACACACCGAGGGCTGATGTTAAAAAAGTGTGCTAAGTCGCAGCTCCAGATATTCCCAGGACTAAGATTCTCAGTCATCCAGGTCATGGATTCATTTTTTCTTTGAAGACATCTCACTTCTCATCCAAGAAGCTCCTTCAGCTCTGACTGGATGGTGGGGAATGGAAGAATTTATATTCCTTGCAGGCAGCTGGTCCTTTGCATCCTTTGAGAAGGTCGTTGAAGCTCTTGGGAGATTCATCTGTGTCCTTCAGCTGTACAATTTGGGATGAACACCCTTGGAACGGAGTGGGAGTAGGAATGGATTTCCAGATGGGAACAAAATGCAGACTACAGGAACCCGAAGCACCACTCAGGTGACCCTGAGGACGCAGATAGAAACCTCCAAGTCCCAAAAGTGCTTTTTCAGGAGGCAGCTGGACTTCCTCCTTTTTCTTTGAAGACCTTTTGCTTCTCACCCAAGAAGCGTCTTCAGTTGAACTGAAGTGAAACAAAGGCGAACCGAAGAAACTTCTTGGATGAGAAACGAAAGAAAAACAAAGGAAGCCCAGTTGCCTTTTGAAAAAAGCACCCCTTGGATGTTGTTTTGAGACAAATCTCTGCTCTAACGAAAGGTAGAAGGTTGCATGCTTGTCTTCTCCATGAGATTTTTATGTCCAAGCATAAAGTCAAGGAAGCAGGACTGGAAAAATATAAAATTCCATCCAATTCAGCCAGGTGCTTTCGGATATATCTAAGACAACACAGTGAGGGCAACCACTCTGAGAACTGGTTCAAACTAACCTTTTGGGACAGGTAAAAGGAATCTTATCGGGATCAGACGTAGCCATGAAATTGTTCAAAACATGCAACAGTTCACAACCCCATGAGATGGAGAAAATCCTCTTTTGGCTCTGACCCACAGATTTCACAGTGACGTCCGGTCAAAATGTTCTCCTTTCTTTTTACAAATCAGAACATTTCGTCTTATTCCAAAGTTGAGACTTTATTTTTTTGGGGGGGAGGGGAGAATGATGGTGGCCCACCAGCCATGTGGGGAGGGATGATGGAAATTGAGATTTAGTTACCAGGAAAAAAATAATAAAAGGCGCTTTTCCGAAGAAATTACGTTTTGCCAGAACTGTGGAAGTGTTGTTTTCCCCTCTTTTTGCACATTAAGATTTCATAGACAGAGAATTTGAGTGCTTGCTTGATGCTTCCATTTGATGGGACGCGGTGGCTCAGTGTCTAAGACACTGAGCTTGTCGATCAGAAAGGTCGGCAGTTTGGCGGTTCGAATCCCTGCAAGAGAACAGCCAAGCTCAAAAAAGCACCAAGGGCCCCTCTCAGAACCAGAGGAGGTATTCAGTTCGCCCGAATCGGTTAGTGGAAATTGCGGGTCGGCCCGTATACCCGCACCAGCTCTATGCCGTCCTATGTAGGCATGTTTTTGAGGCCAGGCGCATGCATGGAAGGCTAGGCGCATGCGTGAAAGGGGCACATACACCCGCAAAGAAAGCAGGCAGCGAACTGGTGGTAACAAAATGTGTAACCCACTGCTACTCAGAACCCAAATAAGCAAGACAACTCAATACGGCTAATTGATTGTAACATGTTGTAGAGATCACAGTTGAGTTTCTGTGTCATCTTTGAGCCTCCTTGTGTATTTAACCAATTTTGCTTTTCCAAATATAGCAATAGCAGTTAGACTTATATACCGCTTCATAGGGTTTTCAGCCCTCTCTAAGCGGTTTACAGAGTCAGCATATTGCCCCCAACAATCCGGGTCCTCATTTTACCCACCTCGGAAGGATGGAAGGCTNTCTCTCTCACTTTGTCTCTCTCTGGGCCTCTCTCTCTTCTCTCTCTGTCTGTCTCTCTGTCTCTCTCTCCCTCTCTCTTTGTCTCTCTCTCTCTCTGTGTCTCTCTCATTGGTTTCTTCCTCCTTCCTTCTGAAGGCCTGGCTTTGGACAGAAGGAAGGCCTAGGAAGGAAGGAAGGAAGGAAGGAAGGAAGGGAGGGCACTGGGTTCTGATGGTTGGTTCGGATCCTTTGGAGTTTGTAATGTGTGTTTGTCTCTGCATGCCTATGGAATTGGGACTTTTAGTTCTTAAAAGTAGGTGATTTTGGAGTGGGGGGGGGAAGGGAAGCACATCTGCGCACACTTTCTCTTTGGTCAGCCCTGGGCCTGAAAGAGCTGCCTTTTCTAATGGAACCCATGTTTTCTTCTCTTTGCTCATGTAGATCTTCTAGGAGGGGGGATCAGAAATGCTTAAAAAATGGACTGCTTCCTGCTTTTTCGAGTGGGGGGGGCCTTGCGTTTACCTAAGCATGTTTACGTTGAAGTAAGTCCAGTTTATTTCTCTTTAAGACTTAACTTTCAGGCGAGTATGCTCAGGAGGACATTTTAAGCCATTGGGTTGCCCCCTTCCCAACATAGCTACCTTCCCCCTTCCCTTCCCAGGGTGATAAAAAGACTGAAACTTCTAACAATCTTGCAATATATATATATATTTTCCTCTCCCTATCAGGCTAAGCAAGGAAGTGTTTTGACTCCTTCCTGGTTGGGTGTAAAGCGTTCAGGATTTCTTTTGTTGATGTTGATGCAATGGCCCTTTTGAAAACAATTCTTATTGTGTCTCGGTTTCTCCCCAAACCTCCCCCCTTGTTTCTTTTGGTAGGAAGTCAGCAGCAAATACTAGAGATCAAAGGGTGGTAGGAAGAAAGGGCCATCAGAGGTGGAAAACCTATTGTGTCAGGTTTAAAATGTTGCCCAGGTGGACATGGTGGCTTAGTGGCTAAGANCCCACCCACCCATCCCCGAATGGAGAGAAAGTTGATCTGGGGTTCTTCCAGATCCTTAACCTCCCACATTTCCAAGTTCTCCCAAGTAACCTGCAGGGCAGTGGCTCCCAGATTCTATCAGATCCAATCAGATAGTGGCAATTCTGAGGGAAGAAGTTATTCGATCTTTGGCGCTTTCCGTGTGTGTGTGAGGGGGGGGGGCGGGAGAAAGGGACAGAAGAGAGAGAGAGAGAGAAGTGCGAGAGAAGAAAGAGAGAAAGACAGAGAGGAAAGAGAGAAGAGTGAAAGAGAGGAAAGAGCAAGAGGAAAGGGATGAGAGAGAAAGAGAGATAGGAGAGAGGAAAAAGATAAGAGAGAGAGAGACAGAAGAGAAGGAGAGAGGAGAGAGAGATATGAGAGAAAGAGGAGAGAGAGTGGGGGAAAGAGACAGAGAGAGAGAGACAGGAAAAAGAGAAAAGAGAGAGACAAGACAGAGAGAGAAGAGAGGGAGAGAGAAAAGAGATGAGAGAAAGAAAGGAGAGAGAGAGACAGACATAGCGAGAGAGACGGGAAAAAGAGAAGTGAAACACAAGACAGAGAGAGACAAACAGACAGAAGAGAGAGAGGAAAGAGAAAGCGACAGAAGAGAGGGTGAGAGGAGAGAGAGATATGAGAGAAAGAGGAGAGAGAGTTGGGGAAAGAGAGAGAGAGGAAAAAGAAAAGAGAGAGGCAAGACAGAAGACAGGGAGAGAGAAAAGAGGAGAGAAAGAGGAGAGAGAGAGAGAGACAGAGGAAAAGGAGGAGTGAAAGACAAGACAGAGAGAGACAGACAGTCAGAAGAGAGAGAAAGAGGAGAGAGAGAGAGAGGAGAGAAAGAGAGGAGAGAGAGAGTGAGGCAGAAGAGAGGGAGAGAGAGAGAGAGAGAGAAAAGAAGAAGCCGCATTAAGAACCTCTTCTGGGCAGTGTTCCCTCCCAGCCTGTCCCTGCAGAACCTGCCTTCTGCCTGCTGCTCTCTGATGGACCTTTCTCTTCTGTCCTCCTCCGCAGCTACTTCAGTATCCCGAAAGAAGAAACGAAGGATGGGAACGTACAGCCTGGTTCCCAAGAAGAAGACCAAAGTTTTAAAGCAGAGGACGGTGATTGAGATGTTCAACAGCATCGCTCATTCCCCAGACGGCAAGGTGAGAAGCGAGAAGAAGGTGCTCAGATGTATGGAAGGCCGTGACGTGGGATTTGCTGATCCAATAAAGCTCAGAACAAACCATCAAAGGATTTGTCTGTCTTCCCCTGCTACCTTTTTCCCCCTCGTTGGCGAAGAATTTGGCCTTAAAAATAAGTACCCTCTTGCCGAATTCAATATAATACAATGCAGTAGCAGAGTTGGAAGGGACCTTGGAGGTCTTCTAGTCCAGCCCCCTGCCTAGGCAGGAAACCCTATAACATTTCAGACAAATGGCTGTCCAACCTCTTCTTAAAGACTTCCAGTGTTGGAGCATTCACAACTTCTGGAGGCAACTTCTGTTCCGCTGATTAATTGTTCTCCCTGTCAGGAAGTTTCTCCTCAGTTCTAAGTTGCTTCTCTCCTTGGTTAGTTNCAACTCCCAGAATTCTCCAGCCAGCAGAGCTGGAGAATTCTGGGAGTTGAAGTCCACAAGTCTTAAAGTTGCCAAGTTTGGGAACCACTGCCCTAGAGTCAGGAATGACTAGCACATATGTGCGAGGGAACCTTTACCTTTTTAACTGGTGGCCTTGATTTTTTTGAGCCTGACAGATGCCCATCTCTGCAGTTCTTTCCTCTTGGCATCCCTTCATTTTCTCATTTCTCTCTCTCCCTAGGATTTAATGCTATGGCCGCCGGCGATGGCGCCATAGACAAGCAAGTTGGGGAACTCAAGATGGCTCCCGACGGCGAGACCAACGGCTCCTTGGAGTGCAATGAATTCAAGAGCCACCCTGGCGTAGCCAAGAACACTCAGGACAATGCAAAATTGAGCCAAGGGGACTCGGTGGCCAAGCTGAGCCGGATAGCAGAAAACGGATTTTCCGAACGTGACGGGGATGCTGGGAAGCCAAACCACCTCAAAGCAGCGAACGACTTCACCCAGACCACGGTGACAGGCAGCAACGGGTACATTTTGCCCAAGCAGATGGCTCAGGACCTGCCCGTCAGGACTTCGAACAGTGGTTTTCCTGCTCTGCCAGGCCACGCCGCAAAGACGCTTCCCGCTGGAGGGAGCAAGGGGAGGACTTTGAGCCCCTTTATGCAAGCACAGGGCGCTCTCCCAGCTAAGTTTGGAGACGGGGGTGGCAAGGACCCGGAAGCTAAAAAAACAGGCGGGATCAAGGTGCATCGAGCCCGGAAGACGATGCCCAAGTCTCCATCTCACCTGGTAATGTATATAGCAACAGCGGTAGTCCTTAGATTTATGTACCGCTTCATGGTGTGCTGCAGCTCTCTCTAAGCGGTTTACAGAGTCAGCCTATTGGCCCCCAACAATCTTTACCAACCTCGGAAGGAGGGAAGGATGAGTCAACCTTGGAACTGGTGAGAGCAAACTCATAGCAGTTAGCAGAGTTAGCCTGCAATTCTGCATTCTAACCACTGTGCCAGGAAGGAAAGAAGGATAAGGGGAGGAAGAGAAAGAGAAAGAAGAAAGAATGGGAGGGAGGGAGGAAAGAGAAAGAAAGAAAGAAAGAAAGAAAGAAAGAAAGAAAGAAAGAAAGAGGAAGGAAAAGAGAGAAAGAGATAAAGGAAGGAGGGAAAGAGATGGGAAGGAGGGAGGGAAGAGAAAGAGGAAGGAAAAGAGAGAATAGCAATAACAATAGCAGAAGATCAAGAGAGAGGGTCAAATGATTGCGGGACACTACAAATGTAATAAGTCAGTTGCGAAATGTCCTAAGACTCTGTTTTTCCTTGAAGAGGTTTTTGCTTCTCATCCGAGAAGCTTCTTCAGTTGAAGAGAAAGGAATTAAAGGTGAGCCGAGGAAGCTTCTTGGATGAAAAGTGAAACCTCTTCAAGGAAAAGGCAAAGAAAAGTCCAGCTGCCTTTTGGTGACCGAGAATCTCCGCAGACATCCCAAGTGCTTAGGACAGTTCTGCCAATTAAAACTTCATTGTCGGCCTTTGGCGATCATGGCTAAATCACCCCGACTTTGCTAAG